AAAAAAAAGATCTAGAATGTTATAAGAGCTAGAAGAGCCCCCAATAAAATGATTAAGAAAATAAAAATAAAATGTGTTCAGAACTAATAGAGGAATTGAGCCAGGTTGCAAGACCCAAGGTCACCACACAAAAATCCGTTGGGTTTCTATACGTTGACAATTAGAAATCTGAAAAGGTGAAAGCAGCTCCATTTGCAGCCGTTTTGAAGAGACTGTAAAATAGGAGTAAGGCTGTGAAAGACTTATACAATGAAAATTATAAAGTTCGGTCGACAGTACTCATAGACTGGAAGACTTCAGTTAAGATGTCAGTACTATCAGAAGTGACCTACACATACAACACAGTCCTGATCAATATTCCATTAGCACTCTTTACAGAAATGGGAAAAAACCTAATCCTTAATTTTTTCAGCAGTTTTATTTGCAAGTAGTTTACATATCATATATTTCAATAGTTCAGTCATTCAATCATATCACATAGAATTGTACACTCACCCCCCACATCAATTTTAGAACATTCCCCCTGTTTTATGTGGAAAGACAATAGACCCATTATTGTCAAAGCAATTTTAAAGAAGAACAAAGTAGGAGGCCTGATACCTTCTGACTTCAAAATACACTACGCAGTTAACGAAATCAAAATACCCTGGTACTGGTTTAATGATAAGCACAGTAACCAATAGACTAGCATAGAAAGCCCGGAAGTAAATACATCTATGGCAAGGGAGCAAAATCCATTCAATAAGAAAGGAACTGTCTGTTCACCAAATGGGTCTGGTAAAACGGAATTTCCACTCATAAATATGAAGCAAGGTCCATACCTCATAAATAAAACAATTAGAAATGAATCAAGGATCTAAACGTTGTCTCTAAAATCATAGAATTCTTAGAAGAAAATCTAGGGGCAAAGCTTTGAAATGAGAGGGAGAATCACCATATAACCCCGCCACTCCATTCCCTGGATTAGGGATCTAATAGAAGTGACACGAACAGACATATGCACCCCTATATACATTGCAGCACCCTTCACAATGTCAAAAAGATGGAATCAACCTACATGTCTATCACTGGATGAGCAAAATGTGGTACATACATACAATAGAATACTAACTTAGCAATAAAGAAAAAACAAGTCCCTAAAACATCTTACAATGTGGATGAATCTAGGGGATATTATGTTAAGCAAATAAGAAAAGGAAAACTATTGTATTTATAAAAGGAAATAATTAGGTAAGTGTACAGAAACTAATGTTGTTAGTGGTTACCTTTGGTCTGGGGTGGGAAAGAGAGAGAAGTACTTGCTAGGTAGTAGTCACTTTTTGTTTATAGTGCTAGGAAAGATGGCACCAAATGGAGGTGAAGTTGGCACAGCATCACTGATGTAATTGATATCAATAAACTGTGCAAAGGAAAAAAGGAGGCTTAACCACATACTAGGTTATTTATATATAGATTGCAACAATAACAAGAACTCCAAAGGGAAGGGTACTACACATGCTAATACTAATTAGACATAACCAGCCATCTCATGGGATTAGTTCTCTTGGTTGGATGGCTCAGGGTCATGGTATCATAGGACAGTCCAGTCAGTTGTCATAATACAGTTCTCAAAGTTTATATAATTTTATCTCCAAGTATGGTGCGTCTAATGTCTGAAAAACTTACAATTGACTATCTAAGATACTTCTATTGATCTCTATTTGTCTGGAACACAAGAACAAGAGGCAAACCCAAGAATCAGAGAAGGAACCTCCCCCTTGAGACTAGAACTATGTGGTGTCAGGCTACTACGACTGAAGGTTCTGATCAGTGACACCATGGATAGATCCTGATAAAAATGGGCAGAAATGGGAATTAGAACTTCAAAATTTTAAGGAATCCGGGCTCCCTGGACTTCCGGAGCTGGAGGCATCTTCAAGACCATGGTCCTGAGTTATTCTCCAAACCTTGAGACTATCCCCTCAAGGCAACTTTAAGTGACACTTTAGCTCAAAATGTAAAGGTTGTCACCCTGGACTATTTCTTTTCAAGAATTATAGTAGACCAACTAGTCAAAAGCGATTTTAAAATAGAGATGGGAAAGTTAGGAGACAGAGAGCTGAATTTAATGAGAGTGAAACAACTAGAGCAGAAATCATGAGAATGCTGATGCAATGTGAAGAATATAGCCAATGTAACTGATCGTTATAGTTTGAAACTCGGGAATGGGACTGGGTCTTGCTATGCATGTTTTCATCAAAAGTAAAAATATATTAATTAAAAAACCCCAACATTAGCCAAGTAAAATAACACCTATAATTTCATCATCCTAACACAGTGTCAGTTGTAATTTTATCTATTTCTGGGTTTGTTCATTTATATGCATATTTTACATAATTATAATATGAATACACATACTATTTTAATGGGTATATTAGATATATGTTATAGCTCAAAAAAGTTGAATAAAAATTTAAAATTCCTTGTATACATAAGTATCCCTGTTGTTGCTGTCAAGTAAGCATTGAGCTGCTAAGCACGAGGTTGTTGGTTCAAACGTGGGCTCTCCTGCTGCCATTAGAATCTATAGCCCTGGAAGCCCTATATTGGGTCATAATAAGTAGGGAAGGTGCCCTGGTGGTGTAGTTGTTACTCGTTCAGCTGTGACTCAGAAGATCAGCACTTTGAAACCCCCAGCCACTCCGAGGGAGAGAGACGGGGCTTTATACTCCTGTCCCTATAAAGTCGCTATGACATGGCAGTGCGTTGAATAGGAATCAACTCAGTGACAGTGGGCAGTGGATTTGGATACATATTATTTTATTCCACTTTATTTTGTTTAATAATAAATATTTTCCAGTGCTGCGGAATGCTTTTGCTTAATGATGCATGCTTTATCAAATGTGTGTACCATAATTAGTTTAATCCCCTGTTCTTAGAAATGTGGGCTATTTTGAATATTCAGCTTGGTGAGTAATGTTAGAGTAAGCATCTTTGAAGGTTCGGGTGCTTCTGTGAAATGATTTTGTTGGTTAATTTCTAGCTGTGAAATTAAGGAGTCAACATTTATAATCCTTGCTAAATATGAAGGTGCTATCTTTATTATAGCTTTTCTAGGACCAGGAAAAGAAAGTATTTTTATTTTTAAAAAATAGAATAAAATCAGGATTTGGAGTGACTTGTTTTTCTAGTATAAGATGGTAATTTTGTCTTCAATCACTACCTTACAAAGAGGAAAAAATCTTAATTTGTATTTGCCTTTAAGTTAGCAAAGGTGTTTGAGACTCTTGGTAAACATCTATCTAAAGAAAGAAAAGGAGTCTTGTAGTATCTAGTAAGGTCTCTAATAAGATGCTTTGGGTTAAGTTTTGGGCTGCTAACCACAAGGTTGGTGGTTCACACCTACTGTCTGCTCCACAGTGGAAAGATGAGACTGTCTGAGCCCCTCTGGAGCAACTCTGCCTTCCTTAGTTGCTTTGATGGCAGTGGTTAAGGTCTTCCTTTACTTTGATCTCCCTAGTGGGAGCCCCTAGTATATATGTGCATAATTACTAGTTATCCCTTTCTCGTTCTGTGGGTTTTCAGAACTAACTATTGAGGTTTGTTGCAGTGAGGTTTGTGGCACAGCGTTTGTTTGGGCTTAGCGATATTTTGAGTCGAGGCAACCACCGAACAATGTTACTTCGTGATTTCTAAAATTTTACGTCAATCTTTTTATTCTTTTACTAAACGTAAACCTCTCTGTTGCCGTTTCTATATTAGATGAGCTGTGTGGGTTGATAGCCATCGCTGATACAGTAAAGCCTGAAGCAGAATTGGCTGTCCATATTCTGAAATCTATGGGCTTAGAAGTGGTTCTGATGACTGGAGACAACAGTAAAACAGCTAGATCTATTGCTTCTCAGGTAACTGGCGTTACTTACTTTTTTGGGGGGGGATGCATAAACTAACTTCTAATTCTGATATCCATTTCCTTTTTTTCCTTCAGACTTTAAAGGAGTTCAATATTATCTGTTATTTTCATTATTATTGAGTAGCCCTAGCTGGTTTCTCGAAAGAAAAAAATGATATGTCATGATGGAAAGTCTTTCAACTTTGTGCATTACTATTATATGTGAAAACTTTGTGCTGAGTGACACTGTATATCAGTTTTTATTGATGTTTCCTTTAAGGTGTTGCTCATACTGGAATCCATGCCAGCCTAAACCAGGCTTTCATGATCTCATGCCTAAAACATTATAATAGCGTCATGCACCCTGAACAGCACTGCTAGAACAATTTTTCTAATGCATCATTTTGACATATTGTTTTTCTGCTACTGAATTTCAAATATTCCTGATCTCCACAACTTTTCTTAATTTTTTCCATTTTGCACTGTCTTCTCTCTCAAACAATACCAGCCATATGTGAATACATTCTTGTATGTAACAACATAGGTGAATATAAAGTAAGATGTTTGTCATCTGTTTCCCAATACTCTCTGTCCAGTCTTCTTCCTCCAGAATTTTTCATATGTTTATATACAAATGCATAGTTTTAGTATGTTCAACATCACGTGGATCATTTTTGTACAGATTGTTCGGAACATTGCTTTTTAAAAAATGTATCAGTATGCCTCAGCACTTTTTTCCACACCTGAACATATAAAATTACTTTATTCTTTTTACATTTATGCATAGAATTTCATGGTAGGGAAATATTAAATTTGTTTAATGATCCCCCTAACGATGAGCATGTAGATGGTTTTCCAAATTTTGTTGCTGGAAACTGCAATAATGAACATCCTCAGGCATACATCTTTCTGTTCATGTGTATGTCCAGTTTGTAGCTAGAAGAATTATTGGGCCAAAGGATCCGCATATTGGATAGATGCTGCCAAACCTTACAAATACAAGGTACCAGTTTTCACACTCACCAGTAGTGTGTAAGAGAGCTCATTTCTCTACATTTTTAAGAACACTGAACATTTTATCCGTTTTATAAAATTTGCATATCTCATGGATGAAAATGAGGGTTCATTATTGCTAAGTGTGTTTCAGATACTCAGTAATATACTTGAAATTAACTGTCATTTTCCCACATGTAGGTTGGCATCACGAAGGTATTTGCTGAAGTTCTACCTTCCCACAAGGTTGCTAAGGTGAAGCAACTTCAAGAGGAGGGGAAACGGGTAGCAATGGTAGGAGATGGAATAAATGACTCCCCAGCTTTGGCAATGGCTAATGTTGGAATTGCCATTGGCACAGGCACAGATGTAGCCATTGAAGCAGCTGATGTGGTTTTGATAAGGGTGAGTTCTATGGCCTATCATTTGGGAAATTATTTAGATTAGTCACAGTTCTTCAGAGAAACAGAATCAGTAGGCTAGACAAACACACACACACACACACGCATTGGTCTAAGAAGGTGGCTCATGTGATTGTGGAAGTGCACAAGTGCAAAGTCTGTAGGTTAGGAGACAACTTTAGAAATCTTGAATCTGAAATCCATAGGCCAGGCGATAGAGCAGAAATTAGGCAAAATATCTAGGTTACAGACTTGAGGCAGAATTCCTTTTTCTCTGGAAGCCTAGGTTTTCCCTTAAGGCTTTCAACTGGCTGAATGAGGCCTGCCCATATAATCAGGAGTAATCTCCTTTACTTAGAGTTAACTGATTATAAATGCTAATTAAATCAGCAAATCACTTTCACAGCAGCATCTAGAATACTGTTTGACCAAACAACTAGACACCATAGCGCCATAGCCTCGCCAAGTTGACATGTGACCATCACAGTCAACAGTTACAGCCACATGCTCAGCTGCAAACATGAGGGCTGTTCGTGAATATTTCATTCCTTATTTTGTTATGAATATGTGTGTAGCAAATATTTTTGTTTTCTCTCATATTCCCTTAATTATCATATAAGACGAATTAACTTTTCATGGTAGTATTTAAGTTACAGGATCTTAAAGACAAAAGTGATGATCACCTCTCTAGGCAAGAGTTATTGAATTTTGGGCTGTACACAGGATGTTTGTGCCTATCATAAGTATTCTAGTACAGTCAACAATTAGCAGTCCTCCTGTTTGCAGCTGAGCATGTGGCTGTAACTTGTAGTTAGGGGTGACCTTCAAAAATCCCCAGAAAAATGGAGTTTAAAGATAATGAAATTTCCCCCCACATTCTTCAAATCCCCTTCCTATAACTACCTTTTTATATTATCCAGTTCATATTACCTTTGGTATTGCCTCTAGAGCCTTCAAAAGTGAATGCTTGGGTCATACCACCAGGCAAAGAACCACACCCATCTGAGGTGCTTACTGAGGCTAAATAGTCTAAGCATTAGTAATCCTGCATGAATAGAGTTGTGGTTCTCCTTTGACTTTAATCCGAGGGCATGGTAGTAATAAAAGATACTCTTCTATTATCGCCACTTAGTGTTGTAACTGAGTCTTCAAAAGTCCATTCTCCTGTTCTATGGAGCTAATTGCTTCAGACTGATGAAAACATGCTAAGACTCGTAGTTCCATTAGCATGATCCCATCGCCACAGTTCAGTTGCTAGAAGGGAGTTCCTTTATGAGAGGCAATGCTGTGTAGAATACCATCATGGTGGGTAAAGCATTCTGTAAGTTCATGGGGCTCTGTTGGTGTAGTGAAGTATGCATCGGGCTGCTAACCACAAGGTCAGTAGTTTGAACTCACCAGCCTATCTTCAGCAAAAAGAGGAGACTCTCTGCTCCCATAAAGATGTATAGCCTCTGAAATCCACAGGGACAGCTCTGCCCTGTCCTGTAGAGCCTCTGTGAGTTAGAATGGACTCGAGGGCAGTTAGTTTCTATACAAAATCCATGGATGGTAGTTTGAGAAGTATTGGATGCAAATCCTTATCTAGAGTCAAAGTGTATATACCAATAAGAATAAAATGTCCTTTCTGTGATAGAAGTGGTCCGATATAATGCTGGCTGGTCACTCTAGATAATGGTGCCATTTAGAGGACTCAGTGTTGTTCTCTGCTGCTGGCAGATTGGGCCCAGAGCAGTGCCTGTAGCTAGGATGGCTTTGGTGAGTGGAAATCCATGTTGCTAAGCCCATGCATAACTTCCCTTCCTGCACTGTGAACATATCTTCAATTTTTTAACCCACTCAGAGATGTCTGTTCGCGTGCCTCTTACTCAGACCTCCTTGCCCCCACTTTTCCAATCATGTACTTCCAAACTCCTTGACCATCCAGCCAGTCCAATGATGGCAGCATGTAAATCAGTTTATGACACACTTCTGGCCATTTCTCACAAGCAAAATGAACAATCAGGTGTATTAAAATTTCTGCTCACTGAAAGGATTTCCCTTCACTACTATCCTTCTGAGTTGTCCCAGAAGGGCTGTAATAATAGAGCTTCCTATTTTTGGGGGTGTTTAATATATAATTTTATTTATGGTTATAGAAATAAATGTTAAAATGAGTAACAAAACTTCCCCATTCACATCCAACAATTTAATAGATAACAGTTCAAATAAATGGGAAGGGGAGGAGGGTTAAAACATGAAGGCTGATATAATCTAAAATCACATTCAGATCTCAAGCTTTTATTTTATTTTATTTTTTAAATCATTTTATTGAGGGCTCATACAACACTTACAACTCTTATCACAATCCATCCATCCATCCATTGTGTCAAGCACATTTGTACATTTGTTGCCATCATCATTCTCAAAACATTTGCTTTCTACTTGAGCCCTTGGTATCAGCTCCTCATTTTTTCCCTTCCCTCCCCAGCCTCCTCCCTTATAAGCCCTTAATAATTTATAAATTATTATTATTTTGTCATGTCTTACACTGTCTGACGTCTCCCTTCACCCGCTTTTCTGTTATCTGTCCCCCAGAGAAGGGGTTATATGTAGATCCTTGTGATAGGTTCCCCCTTTCAACCCCACCTTTGCTCCACCCTTCCAGTATCGCCACTCTCACCACCACTTTCACCACTGGTCCTAAGGAATTCATCTGTCATGGATTCCCTGTGTTTCCAGTTCCTATCTGTACCAGTGTACATCCTCTGGTGTAGCCGGATTTGTAAGGCAGAATTGGGATCATGATAAGTGGGGGGCAGGAAGCATTTAAGAACTAGAAGAAAGTTGTACGTTTCATCATTGCTGCACTGCACCCTGACTGGCTTGTCTCCTCCCCATGACCCTTCTGTAAGGGGAGTCCAGTTGCCCACAGATGGGCTTTGGATCCCCAATCTGTACTCCAGTCATTCACAATGATATGATTTTTTGTTCCTTGATGCCTGATACCTTATCCCTTCGACACCTCTTGGTCACACAGGCTGGTGTGCTTCTTCCATGTGGGCTTGGCTGCTTCTGAGCTAGATGGCCGCTTGTTTACCTTCAAGCCTTTAAGACCCCAGATGCTGTATCTTTTAATAGCTGGACACCATCAGCTTTCTTCACTACATTTGCTTATGCACCCATTCGTCTTTAGCGATAGAGTCGGGAAGGTGAGCATCATGGAATGCCAGTTTAATAGAGCAAAGTGTACTTGCATTGAGCGAGTACTTGAGTGGAGGCCTAATGCCCAAATGAAGGCTGTGCATGATAGTGGGACAAGAGGAAAGGAAAAGGAAATAGAGGAAAGAACTAGGAGGTAAAGTGCATTTGTGGAGGTCTAGATGCAGGTATGTATATATGTAAATATACTTGTTTATGATGATGGGGAAATAGATCTATGTGCATATATTTATAGGTTTAGTATTAAGGTTACAGACAGATCTCAAGCTTTTAAATCAAAGTATTGCTCTTCATTTAAAAAAAAAAACTATATCCCATTGGCAATGAAAGCTGGCCAGCCCCTGCTTCAGTGGTCTCGGCTATTCTGTACCCTGGCTTCTCAGGGACATGTTGGGGCCCATATCCCCACCCCTAGGACACGCTGCTTTGGAGGGCCTGACTGTGAGACAGAGGGAGAGACACTGGGCAGAAACAGTCAACAAGACATCCACTCCCACACATACCCCTCAGATGCCCTGATCTTACACAGCCCTCACTGCACCCCACTTGTACACATGCAGTCCTCATGGCACCCCAAGTTTACACACAGCCCTAACGGTACCCTGATTTTATAGAATGGTAATTTGTATCCGAAGGAGTTCTGGCTGTGGGTTCCCTTCCTTCAGGTGGGTGGGCAGGGGGGTGCTGCACTGCAGGGTCCCCCCTTCTCTTGAAGCAGAGACTGAGCCCCATAAATGAAGGTGTAGGAGGTGTTCCAAAGGAGCCAAAGCTACGAGATCTGATTTTCCCAAATTTCGCAAGAAGAGAACCATCAGGAGGGCTAGCCCACAGATGAAGGGGCTGTAGGCAGAGGTGTGAGGCCCATTCAGGCAGCTGAACACCCCGGGGAGCTGGGACTTCACTCCAAGCTGGTGAAGAGCTGAGGAGGGTTCACCAAGGCCAGCCAGGCACAAGGCAGGCAGCCCGAGGACCCCATTCACCTAGGGCCAGTTTGGGCAATCATCCCCAAATGAAAAATTCCAGACTCAGAGCAGTGGCCAGGGCTCCCCCTGGGGCTCTGGACATAACTTCAGGTTGGAGGGAGGCAGTTGGATGAAAGCAACAGGACAAACCTCCCCCCTCAACCCTCAGGGGAGGAGAGCTGGCGAGAGAGATCTGGGGTGGGCCACCTGACATGTAGACACAGAAACAACTGAGCTGCCCCACCCGCACCCTGCAAGAGCAGTGCCTGAGAGCAGAGACTCTCCTGACAACTTCCTGGAGGGTGTGCAGCTGAAGCCACCTGTGCCCACTGACTCACAAGGGAGCACTGAGGACACCAGCTGCCCCTCTGCATGGGGGCCGTCAGAGGACATGGGCCCTCTGCGGGACATTGACCTTCAGCCCAGCCCTGCACCCCGATGGGGTGTGGGGTATAGAAGGCCTGTGTGGCAAATACCCCAACAGCAGGCAAGCAGGGGTGTCACTAAACAGACACCAACAGCGTAAGTTCAACAAACGACTGTAACCTTAGCGTAAAACCATCTCCCTGAGGGACTTGTGCTCACCTTAATGCCCCCTCAGAGGTGACATGCGGCTATGGGGTCTGAAGACCCCATGTGACCCACTCTGGCCAGGAGGCCTCAGAACTAGTGGCCTCTGAGGCAGAGTCCGCCAAGTGCTCATTGCGCCTCACTGCCACAAACTGCCCCTACATCCCCAACCTCTCTGCCCCACCCTGACTTCCACCCTACACCATTTCTCTCTTCCTCTCACATTGCTCCCTCCCCGCACAGCAGCAGCAGCAGCTTCTGGTCCTAAAGG